CAAAGGAATAGTCACACGGGTGCGCGAGCGCACGACTACTCTATTTGCGATTGCAGCAAGTCTATTTGGGCCAATGGTTAGTTTTTTTTTGGCATCACAATGGCATAATTCAAAAGAGCCAACACAGAAAAAAAAAGAACCAGCGCATCAATAAACGTTATTACTTAATACAATCCAATAACGAAAATTCCACGAGAAGAAGAAAGAAAGAAAAAAAAAAAAAGGTCAATCGCAATCGTTACTAATGCAATTTACTCATTCTTCTTCTTCTGACACTGCCGCTCGTTTGCGGGCATACACATTCGACAGCGTGTGCGAATGGCCCCTTTGTTTATTGATTCTCACCAAACCATCGCAACTATAGCTACACACACACACACACACACACACTTCATATGCGTTTAACGGCGGCAATTGTGTATGCATCGCAAACGGAATGCGAATTCGTAACAAATCATAAAATGAATACACCTATTCAATTCAATAGAGCGTGCGATTTAAATCCATTGTACACGCTATCAGCAACTAAAGTATAAAATATTACCATTAATATTTATAAATCTCATTGTATCGGTGCTGCAGCCATAATTTATTCATTCTTCGCTCGCGCGCGCTTCTCTCTCTCACTCACTCATCGCGTACCTCAGATGCCTTTATATGCCTGTTTGTGCGCCTCTTCTTGCCCACGTTTCAGTCTCAGTCGCTCTTGCATTCTCCGAGTCACAAGTAGAATTAGAATTTTGCATCAAAGTAGCCGATTTATCTAATTTTTGCAGGTATGAAGCGCGTAAAAAGCGAGAATCCACCAAAAAGAAATGTGCAATAGATGTTTGGTGAATCGAACGCAAACCTAACTAGTATCTCTCATCGATATCGCGAATAGAAAAAATATATATATATTTATAGATGTTTTATGTGAGTGTGTGTGTTTGTGCTCATGTGCTACACACAATTTTCATGTCGATACATTGTTTACCAAAACCGGAACCCTAATCACACCCAACGATGTGCATTCGAATGACGTCCGTCGCAGCAACAGCAAAATGCAACCGAGGCCCGGGCAACTGCCTCTGCTCTCGCTGGGTAGTTAGAAATTTCCATATTTATTATATTTCCTAATTAATCAGGCAGAATGTGTCCATAATTCTGACACTTACATGCTCAATGCATGCTTACTTTGCTCGCTCGCTTGTACGATTCTTTCGATCCAATTAACTAGCAAAATGGTGCGTGTCGCCGTGGAAAGCATAGATTGAAAATGCATTTGCATGGAAATTGTATCAATGAGGCGAGATTTGCAATGCCCGGTGCATTGATGATGAAAAAAAACCGTCTCTGGGTAATGGTGTGAACGTGATTTTCATAGATTATAGAACAACGATCCCGTTGCTGATATGTGCATTGTCGTTGTCGTCGTTTTCTTTATCTTTCCAGATATTTTAGCTAGCTCATGTTCGATCCACGAACAAGCATCAAGACAAGACATTTCGATTAAACACCAACCATTTGCGTTTGAAATTATTGACTCTTCGGAATCGGTACACAATAAGAGCACGAGCATCAAAGATCAAACCAAAATGTTATATCGTCGAAAAATCAACCTGAAAAGGATTATTATTCAATCGCATTGTATGCAACATATAGCATACGATAATTTTTGTTGCTGTTAGCGCAACATATCGAATCGGATCGGTAACACGTTAGGTGTACAATGTACAAATAATGGACAAAATAAACTGTACATGGCACTGGTGATGTTTGCACGAGGCACGCTTTTGTTCGATCAGTTCGGAAGAAAAACAGGCCTGAACCAGCTGACAAAGTAGCTGTTTTATTGCCTTTATTTCACCGAATCTACGGAAAAATCCGAAAATTAGCTCAATTCTGCTCGAAAAGAGAAAAAAAAAACGCAAAACTATTACTAGAAATGTGTCAAATTATGCAAAATTCAACATGGAATACTGTTAGTCACTCTACACCAATCGAATTGAGTTGAGTGACGCATTGTTTGGCCACACAAAGAATGTGGATTAGATAAAAGAAGCTCTTGTTGTGGTTGCTGCTGCTGCTGCTGTCGCCGGTTGTTAAGTGACTTCTTTTTTTATTTATTTCTTTCAAATTTATTTTGTTATACACAAAACCAGATCCATACCGATGTTAAAAAACGGTACAAGTATTAATCCATTCTTCAGTGTGAACCATTCGATCGATCAGCGTGTGCTTTATTGGCCATTGGTTAAATTCCGATCTATTAGTATATTGGCCAGTATTTCGTTTGTCGTCGCTGCTTGCCATTGTCATTTAAATGCGATTTATATTTATCTGTCTTCAATTGAATCTGATGGATTCGATGTCGATATTTCCGACATTTTTCTTTTCTCCCTTGTTGTTGTAGTCTCTGCGTCCGTTGGTAATTTGTGTCTCATTTCTGTTACGTATCTTTTTCCATTCTTCAATGGATGGCAATAACAAAAGATTCGCTCAACTATACGTGTTAATATTCATCACTTTTCAAAGATTTATTTTCTAACAAACACAAATGGACAAATTTTCTGTCTGATAAACAAATAATTGAACGAACGAGTAACAAAGGAATAACAACCGTTAGCCTGTTTGATTTGTTAATTTTTCTCCATATTTTTGTTTTGTTTTCGATTGGATAAAAAATATGAATTAGATTGATGTTTGATCGCATTTCAAACTAACAACGGACACACACACTCACACACCGGCAATGCACCATTTTTCGATGGAAGTTAATTTTGTATGGAATTTTATCATAAATTATTGGTGATAATTGGGCGGTATTATCGCCGTCAACATCGTTTTAATTTTCTGCCCAGTCGAATCCAATGTTAGCGCTAATTCGATGGAAATATTGTATGGTTCGTTTTCTCTCTTCATTTCCTTTTTCCAATGAATTGGCAAAATATTCCACCGAAATGTGTGTGAGTGTGTATTCAGACAAGAACGACAACAACGAGTGGCCGTTGTCACGTCGATACTTCGCCTTGAATCAATTTAATTCCGTAATTAATTTTTAAAATATGTCAATTGTGTGAATACGCTGAATTGAGACCCGATCAGATCCTCTTAAAATCATCGATATTATTGGTAAATTTTATCGCATTTCAAATGAATGACAGTATCTCGCTCGACCGTTGTCGATGCTCGTGGACAAGAACGAGGCAACGACGACAACGACGACAAAAACTCATCAGCCTATGCAAAAGACATTATCACCTATAGTTTATTGTCATTGAATGCATACGCATCTTTTCATGTTGTTTTCTCCGCCGTTCAGGCGCACACATTGTTTCTGCTCTGGATTTCTTTTGCCAATCATCTTTAACGTTGTGCGTTTTTTCTTCTTTCCCCTTTAAATCTCTCCCATTTGATGTGTGCGTATACAATATTATAATTTCTCATCTCTCCATTTGCATTTGGTTCCAATAAAAGAGACCTAATTGTTTTTATTGTACGCTTTTACCGTTGGATGCTTTTCTTTATGGCTCCATCACCCAAGCCTTCATCGAACATATACGCACCAATTTATGATCACGACCGAAGGAAGAGTGCGAGAGTGAGACACTGATATGGTGATCATCATCATTAAAGTGATAACCACAGTCGAATGGCAAATGTCGATTGGTTTTTGACAAATCAACTTTTGATTTCCAGACGAACCAATTCATTAAATTAACTGGAATATGGGCCGAGATGATAAAAATCCAAATGTCACTTTACGAGTATTTACATAATTACACAAATTAAAAATGCGCGCGGCTTTTCTGCCACGTTTCTTGATCGATTTTTTTTGCGTATTTGGTTTAGCAAATCATTTCGAGAGGCTCGGGGAATATGGAAGAAATTGAACATAGCTTATTCTTTTCCCGATTGATTCAATTAATTATTATTCTGCATTTGGTAAAAAAAAATCAAAACGAAGAAACGAAATAAAAATCGTCAGGATAACGATTGCTGTTGGTTTTCATAAATAATTCATTGGACTTGACCGTTGTAAACACCTGTACTATGAATGCATTGCATGAAAATAGCCGCATGCAATACAACACTTGCGCTGAACAACACACCAAAAGCGAATTGATAAACTACACCGAAACATAGTTGAGCTTACTCTCTCAGCTGCGCTATTCATGCAACTATTCAATGGGCCAATAAATCATTGAAGAATTGAAGCATCCTTAGCAAGAGAACACTCCACAACGAGTAGATAAGCACGGTCCAATGGATAAACTAGCCATGAAACATGATAACAATTACACACAACTGTTGAATATCGTCTTTTTCTCTTCGCTTTACGTTAATTTATACAGATTTTTCTCGTTAATCGGTCAATTAATTCCCGGTGTATCTCTTGTGCATCCATCGAATGAGTCTCCTGATTTCGACCGCTTCGAAACTAAAAATTACGAATTGCAACAAGGAATTTTTGCTCGCGATTTTCGGCACCACATGAAATGTTAATTTTTTTTTCAGCAAAAGATGAATAACGCATAAAGCCGGAAAGAATGTATTTCAAGTAATGATTTTGAGTTATGTTTTTCTGTTCCATTGCTGTTGTTGTTTCTAGTTTCAAGGATCGAATAAAAACATCTGGCAAATGGACACGTATTTGCTGACTCGTGTTTGAAAATTGAGAAAATGCATAACATCATACATTTCTCCAGAGCAATAACATTCCAAATGCCATCAACTAATAATCGATTAGGCAGCATTGGCATCGGCATTGGAATCAAATCTCTTTGCGTAAATGAAGCAGATACCGTACGCTGGGCGAACAGTCGGAGAGATTGCAACTACAACACCACCACCAATTGCTGCCACCGCCGCCACTGCCGCCGCCGTCATCGCCACGAAAAGAAGAAAAAAAGTGCCCAGAATTGGTTGAATTTTTCCGATTATTGGCGAAACGAAGCATTAAAATAACTTCACAGTTTACTATTGATTCAATGGAATTGTGAAAGTAAAAATCTTACCTTTTGCGTTTTGGTTCTTGGTAAAATGGAAAATCTTTCTTCTCTGCTGATTTCCACTGAACCCTTGATTCGGTTTATTTAGTTCCACTTATCTTTTTTCTCTTCTCGTTCCGTTTCTCTCCCTCTCTCTCTCTTTGCTCAAATCGGAATTTATTTCTGTTCCGACCAATGGTTCAGTTTGTATTTATATGATTCTGTTGTAAAAAAAAAATGGTATTCAACAGGAGAGAAAAGATCGACCACGAGTCAAATTTACTCATTGGATTTTAAATTAATTAGTGTTTTTTTCGTTCGTTCGTTCTTTTGTTTTTTCATTAATAAATTGTTCTATACCCTCATATATACATATCGTTATGAGTGATTTCCGTGAAGCACAAAAATTATGCAATGTTTAGCCAGTCGTAAAGCATGCCTTCGTGTTATGTTCTATGCATTTTTAAATATTTTCGTCTTGTTGGCTTTATTTTCTTCTGCTTCTGCGGTACGAACTTGTGTTCGGTTGATTCTGTAGTTTTTTTTCCATCGCTTGTACCAAACAAATCGGTATTTATTGTCTTGAATTCACTACGATGCACACATTGATTCGTTTGCAATTTTTTGCCATTGCCTCAACCGTCGTCGGTTGGTCGGAGTTTTTCTTTAAAAAATGTTAATTTATTCGCGTCGACGAATTATGCAAAACACTTGCAATTCACCACTACAAACACGGCAGTACGTGCCGTTGCCCTACTGATTTTTCCAAGCGAAATTGTCTTATCAAATTGTGCCACAACAGTTTTCACTCACATCGACACGACCTTTTGTTCGTTCGTTCATTCGTTTTCTATTCTAGTTTTTTTCCCTTCTGTTTCGTGTCTTGGATTTTGTCACAGTTTTCTCATTGCACTCTATTGATATTCACTTTGGTTTGGATGTTACCATTTTGCTACTGTTGCTACTGCTACTACTGCTGATGTTGTTGTTGTTGTTGATTTTTTTTAATTCGTCTCATTATTTGTTATACTTTTTTTTGCATCATGCACGTCATATAATTGCTGGATCGGAATTTTATTTCGTTTCGGTGTTTGTTACTGTCTTTTTTTCTTTACGTTCTCACCTGTGCTATTGTGGATATATACGAAAATAAAATGAAGAAGTGCCAAGTAGAAAGCATCTAGTGTGAAACACGTAACAATATGCAAATTTCCTTGCTTTTCGATTGTCTGATGAGCTTGTTAGTTACAAAGTGTTGCATATTTCTTTCGCCTTCGAGCCCTTTTTCTGCACTCGACTCTTTTTCTTCTTTTCTCTCGCTAGTCACAATTACGTTGCTTTTATTTTCTTTTCTGCTAAAACACAAAACAAATATAGACATACATACACGGTGATCGTAATCGTCAAGTGATCAAGAGTCAGTTGTGTTTCATTCAGATTGCATTGTATCTTGTGATATTTGGGGTATTAAATGACACGATGTCGCAAAACATGATCTTCCGAATTTAATATTTTCGCATTTATCTCTCTGACGATCGGATGCCGCATGCAAATTCCACGTCGGGACAGAGATTTTCGCTTTTGCACTTTTCCACAAAATATACACAACAATAACAACGATGGTAGGGGGAAAAAAACTAAAACAAAAAAAAAACTTTTACACACAAGCACCAAAAGTGTTCAAATTGTTTGAAGATGCGACGACACTCATTACGATATTATAAATTGTGTGTCTTTTCTTTTTTTTTCGCTTTAATTATTCCGACATGCTTGCAAACGTCAAAAAAACATCAGTACACATTTTTTTCCGTTCTCACGAACATCTCGTGCCTTATTTTTGTTTTGCTGCAATTGCGTTTCGAACACACAAATTGTGTGTATTGTTTTCACTACCACGCGAGATTCGATCGAAGTGTCTAAATGAATTGACGATTTCTTTTCGTTTTCGGTTAGATTTTTCTCCGACAACTGCCGATTTTCATCGCAACGCGCGTGAAAAACAACTTTTTCGTCGAACAAGTTTTGTATTATCACTACTTATCGCCTCGTATCACATTGAACAAAAAAGAAACATTGCAAATAGAACAAATAAAAAAAAATCAACAAAATTTAAAACAAAACTTCACGCGAAATTTATGCCGTTCTCAATTAGGGAGAAAAAAACATGAAGCTTAATCACTGCTCGAAACGAATATAAATCGTTAAAATTCAATTTTTCAAAAACGTGCTGCTGCTGCTGACACCGCCGCTCGGAACATCTGTATTCTTATCATCAAATTGTATTTGCTTGCACCGAGCCGAATGCCGACTGTCGAGTGTGCTAGCTAGTAGAGTATTTCCACGCTAAGATTCAAAGCACCGAAAATTGAATTGAATCGAAATAGAGAGAGCGTGTGTGTGTGTTTGTGTGTGCGCGAGAGCTTGTGCGGGAAAAATATGTGTAACACTGCGGAAAAAAGAGAGCAACAACAAGGCCGCTTGCTGGTCAAACAGCGAATGCAATCATAGAGAAATAAAATCCAACATAAATGTGGAAGATACACAGTATAGTCGGATTTGCGTTTCGCGTATTCGTATTCGAAGCACACTGGCTGTGTGCAGAGTGCTCTTCTCTCAGCTCAACACGCATAGTTCTTCTTCATGTCGCGCGTTTGATGTGTGTTGTGTGTACTGTGTATTTTCGCACTGAAGCCATTTGATTTTCGCTTTCTTCGTTATTGTTGTTGCTCGCCTTTTTTTCACCAGTAACTTTTTCACAGCGTGCACTCGCTCGCTCGTACACACAGTGCTTTCAAGTCTCTCTCTCAACGCTGATTTGGCAGGTTGTATTCGGTTTGTGTGAGAGATTTCTGTGTACACGGTTTGCGGCTGCCTCCGAGAAATGAATGGAAATGAAAGAGAGACTAAACAAAATGGGAAGAAAATAAAATACAAAGCAACCAGTACGATAAACCATGCGCAAACGCTCGCTCGCTAACTCAAAATGCCGAACTATCTGAACTCTATCTTGCGACTAGATCGTCATTGCTACCAGATCACTCTCGTCGATCTACACGGCAACTCATCATGAAGAAAGATGCTACTGCTACTGCTGTTCAGACCTTTTTTTCTGTTTTGAGAGTGAGAGAGATGAAAACATATTTTTCTTTTCATAACGAAAATCATCTCTCTTTTTTCTCTCACTCTCGTTATGCTGCGGTTGTTGCTACCTGATGTTTTTCCGCCGTGCATTTCACGCTGCATCGAAAGTGCGATGCGGCGATGCGCTCTAATGACGATCGAAAATTAATCAAACGAATAAATTCTAACACCTTACGTGATCATAATAATGATCTACATTTCATTAGAATTTGACAGCAAAATGATTTTAATACGCGTTGAAATGAAGAAATCAATCGACAAACCCATCACCGTGACTCTATTTGAACAACAGTGTTGCATGATTGGCCATTCCAAATGAATAGGACTCTTACTTCATTACCGTGGGCTTAGGTAAATGTTGCTAAACTGCAATGCCGTTTGTATTATGACAAAATTGGCTTTTTCGATTGGAGATTCCATTCACTACCGAAAAAAAAAACTGACTTTGTGAATGTCATCTGGAAATCGGAATGGTGAATCTATTTGCTGACCGTTAAAGCGCATACATGAAACGAAAGTCCCGTCAATTTTGTGCACCTATCAAATTGATGATCTACAAACGAGTTTCGGTGATTTATTAAATAATTGTCGAATTGTGATTGCAACACTTTTTTCCTTTGATACGCGATAACAGTTAATTACACAGTTTCAAAGCATGGCACTTTGATCGATGTTCATTAAACTTCTGGATTTCATTGACTTGAACTCTTCTTCGTCGAACGTCAGAATGATATGCACACACAACCAACCGATGTGGTCATTCTAATGTTCTTTGATTCGCACGAATCTAACGGTGACACATAATGTGAATCTCATGCTTGCTTTTATCACAAAATCAATATTCCATCCAACTGTTGTGCGGATTGAGCATAATAAATTATCCATTTCCTCCATCTTCTCTGTGAGTCCATTATTCGTAATATTTATCTATTTTAAAATGTTCAAGACAACGCTTACGGCATTTCCTACATAATATTTGCACATTTGATACGAGCGAAATATTTACTAATTGGATATGCATTTGTTTAAAGTGTTTTTTTTTTAAGAAAAAGGAATGATGAGTTGAAATGAAACACGGAAAATTAATCAATGAACTTTCGTGATGGTGACAGACTTCAAAATAGATAATAAAACGAATCGTATAATAATTTGAAAAAGTCGTAAAAGTATTGGAATTGGAAAGTTGTTAACAATGTGATTATCAGCTTTTTAACCATTTTTTAAGGAGCTTCAACTAATTTTTCACTTATTTCTTTCAGGGAAATTATATAAAGGAAGATTGCATCTCCGCAAAATGCTTATACACAAATTTACTGCATTTTTATCAATACTTTTGATTTAGTTGTCTCTTTTATTAGCGTTAATTTATTTTGCATGAAATTGACTGCAACAATTTTTTTTCGACTAAAATAAATGTTCATTCTCCTAATCAATTATTCAAATCTAATCAAATTATAATGTTCAACGAAGTGAATCAAAAGATCTGGTTTTGACGAATTTACCTCATAATCAATGAGTTAAACGTTCGATGAGCTTTTAGAAGTATTTTCAAAAGTTGTTTCTTTTCGTTGGAACAATTCCGAGTAAATTTCAAGCTAACTTAAAGCGCAGCTGAAATTCACCGTAAAAACTTCTACGGTAAACGGAAAATTTTCCACCATTTTTCATCAGATGGCGTTATGATCCGCTTCTTACTCGGTTGATCATGCACATATAAACGGGAACATAATTCATTTAAAATTGTTTATTTACGTTTCCATTTCGGTGGAATGATGAAAGTATTCAATCCAACTGTGTAGCACATTTTCAGCACAAATAGCAGAATATAGAATCATAAGGCAGTTTGTTTCAAGTGTATCACTTCAAGTAGTTGCGTATAGTTGTCATCAATTTAAATTTCCATGGAAAAAGATTCTGTTTCTTCGAAACAAACAAAAAGTAAATAAAAAAGATTGAGACTCAGTTTCATGGCTATTTTTATTGCAAAAATACTTTTCAAACCTTTTTGACAATCAAGGTGGTAGCTTCAAGCTAATACAGTTATCTATTGAATAACGGCTGTGCTAAATATAAATGATTAATGCCCAATCAAAAATATCGCACTTTTTCATTCGAAAGATTGCGTTGTATTTCGATCAAGTTGATGTTGGTGTCTATCGTTGCCCATTTTGTTGCTAAATACTCGTCTTCACCAACGCCGATTAATACTGGTTGTGCTCCCTTCAATTTTTTCCGTTCATTATTCAGTGCGGTTAAGTCGAGTACGTTTTCGTTGAGTTTATCAATAATATTGAATCAGAACATCACACAGCAATGATATCATCCCAAGTTCCAATTCAAATGCCAACCCATACCTTCAACAATCCAATTGCAGTTCAATCTTCATGCACTTGTGCGTTTCGTGTGTTCTGCTCGCTTTGGTGATGATGCACGTAGCCAATTCGATTATTCCGAAACTTTGAGAAAAAGAAACAAATTGTTTTTATCATTAATTGTTTTTGAAGTTAAAATTCGAAGCAAGTGCCACATTTTAGTCAATATGATCATGTAACTATGCCAATTGCAACTCAGCCAATATAACGTCAGAATGCGGTAATGCGTTTTGTCAAGCAAGTTTTTTCTGCTTCATACAAAGAATCCAACGAACTTATTTTGATTTCCCAACACCATTCAACATAAGAAAAGCAAAATCTCGGTTGATTTTTGCAAAGAATATTGGTTTGGACATTTCTTGATGAACGTTTGAATGGAATTTATAGTTTGGAAACGGGAAATATTCAACAATTGAGCAAAATGACATTTACCGCTTCGTTCTTTTGTCAACATTGCGATTTGTGGTTATGCTGTTGATGTACTGAACGACAACAAAGCCAAAGCAATTCAATTCAACGGCTTACCCAAAATGATAACTCGCTTTCAATTTCTTTTCTCAATTTTGCCACTGAATATTGCCCAAAAAATTGCTGTTTTCATGTGGTCACCGTGAATTTCGTGCAAATTCAATCTCGTTGAACGTTTAGAATGTAACAAAAAAAAAATTTCCGTACGAAATCGCCGATGCAAAATGCAAAACAATGCGTCTAGACACTTTTGCTCCGATCTTATTCGATTGAGCGGTTTTGACTATAGTTTTCCTAACATATTTCGATTTTTTTCAGAAAAAGTGTTTTTAACAAAATTCGATTTTGAAATTTTGAGGTTTTGGAATTGAGTTTTGTTCAGTTTTTCATGAAAAATTTTATGGTGGTTTCAGTTTTCATTTATGATGAGTCGTTTTGAAAAATTTGCCAGGTTAATAACGAAAATATGTTATTAATATGTTAATAAGATCGGTATCTTATTAACTAGCATTTTTGGGTTAATTTTTCAAAATGCTCAATCGAAGCTTCAAACTGAAACCACCACAAAATTCTTCTTGAGAAACTAAACAAAATCCGAATTTAAAACCCTAGAATTTCAAAATCGAATTTTGTTGAAAAACACTTTTTCTGAAAAAAATCGAAATATGTTGGGAAAACTATAGTTTTCATAGTTCGTTGTCGAAGTCAAAATCAAACACTTTCCCATTTGGCGATGCACTTGATCTAGTACATTGTTCAACTCGCATTTGAAAACACCTTTCCTATCACAATCGTTTAGTTGACATGTGTTTATTTTGAAATTGAAACCCATTTACATTCCAATACTGAAATATTTTCATGTTGAATTGCCCGCTAAATTCAAGCAAATGCCCATCCATTTTCGCCAGATGGCGCCGTAATCCGTCACTGACTTTGTCTTTGATTGAACACAACACACGTGCTGATTCATCTGTCAATGTCAATTGATGCCGTATTGTTTTAGTGATTTATTCAATATACAATTTTAACGACGAAATTTTATTATTTGTTAAAAAACCACAAATATTTACTCGACAAAATGCCTGTTCTGTGTAATTCAAAGTGCGGGAAGAATGCAATACTCAAGGTAAACCATCGGCTGCACATGGGCAAAAACCAAAAACCGAAAATCGCCAATTTTGCAATTGTTTATTTACGTTTTCCATTCGAATGATGAAATTAATCAAATCATTATCGTAATATATTTTCAGCGCCCGAAGACTGGCGATGCATTGTGCAAAGAGTGTTTTTACACCGCATTCGAAAATGAAATCCATTGTACCATTCAGCAGGCGAATTTATTCAAAAAGGGAGATCGTGTAGCAGTGGCGGCTAGCGGTGGAAAAGATTCAACAGTATTGGCCTACGTTTTGAAACTGCTGAATGAAAAACACAATTACGGACTCAAATTGACATTGCTGTCGATTGACGAAGGAATCACCGGTTAGTTATATCGCAGTATTTACTCAGACAGAAAATGAATCAATTGGAATTTATTCCCTTGCACAGGTTATCGTGACGATAGTTTAGAAACAGTCAAACAAAATCGAGATGATTATGAAATGGAACTAAAAATATTGTCGTACGAAGAGCTGTACGGTTGGACGATGGATCGAATCGTCGGTGAAATTGGAAAAACCAACAATTGCACATTTTGTGGCGTTTTTCGTCGTCAAGCGTTGGATCGCGGTGCCAAAATGTTGAACGTAAACAGTATAGCAACGGGTCACAATGCCGATGACATTGCTGAAACAGTAATCATGAACATTCTGCGTGGTGACACTGCCCGATTGGCTCGATGTACTCATATTAAAACGGTATGAAATGTTAGAATGTGTCATGTGCTGTGCTGTGCTGAGGACAATAAACTAAAGGGATCTGCATCTTTTTTTTCCTCTTCAGATTGACGAAGACGGTGAAGCGATTGCACGTGTCAAACCATTGAAGTACACATACGAAAAAGAGATCGTAATGTATGCCCACTTCAAGAAGTTAGTCTACTTTTCAACGGAATGCATATTTGCGCCGAACGCATATCGTGGCCATGCTCGAGCATTTCTCAAGGACTTGGAAAAAGTGCGACCGTCTGTGATAATGGACATAATTCATTCAGGAGAACAAATCAAATTCAAATCAACTGTCAAGAGACCCGTTCGTGGTATTTGTAATAGATGTGGCTTCGTTTCATCGCAACAACCCTGCAAAGCGTGCGTTCTTCTGGAGGGATTGAATCGTGGTTTGCCAAAACTAGGAATTGGCAAACGATCACGTGCCGACCGAATGATAGCTGAACAGGAACGTGATTTAGCGCAAGCTTTTCGAGAGAAAGCCCATCTTGTTAAAAATGATTTTTAATACTAATTTAATAGTACGAACCGTGGAAATAAATGTACTGAATGGAATTTGTGTGAGTTTTATCACTTAAGGAAGGAACAAATTCGGTAGAAGGAAAAGAATTTCTCGTTCAAGAGTTCAAACCATTTTTAGGAAAATTTAATTGCATCTTTGGAAAGGGCGGTTTTTGTCGAATCTTTAGAAAAACAATGAAACTAAGTACATCATTCAATTTGAGATTATATTTGATGCAAATATTCTAATACTCTAAAAGCAAAGCGAACATTTTTCATAGCCCAAATTTCGTTTTTGATTAGGAATTGAGATGTCAAGACAAATGGCTGTCGTTTATTTTTGGCTTTTTTAAAAAAATTTTTTAGAAAAACTGAAAAAAATACCATTATTCTACTCAAAATACTATACAGTTTTACGTAACATATTTCGACTTTTTCAGAAAAACTGTTCTTTATCTTAATCCGATTTTGAAATTTTTCAAAGAATCTTTCTATAGTTTTGTTGTTGTTTCTACTAAATGAATAATCGATGTTCAAATCTTCTTTGGTCGAAGCAATTCAACCAGCTTCATGGCTAGACCTCTTATTCTTCAATTTCGAAGCTTTTCAAGAGCATACAATAGGAATACGAGCCGCGAAGAATCTATAGAGAAAAAAATGTGTTCAAAGTGAGAGAAATCGTCTGTTGATGTGAAATGACTTCAAGGCAAGTTAATCAGATATTTGTACATACTGCAATGAATGTGTTAAAATTGATTTGAAATAAAGCTCCGGCCTGATATCGAATTGGTTTCTGTGCTCTGCGTATTATATGCATTGTGGCTATCTTAAACTTCATGTCCATTTGATACCATTCACAGCCGTAAACAGCCTGCGCTACATCGGGTGACTGTAAAATGTAGGTGATCAATTCGAATTAAAGTCGATTAATTGGCATGCTCATACCGAATGAACAAACCTCTGCGAACATTTTGTTTCCAACCCAGCACCAATAAAGGAGTTGCGCAAATGCGGCTATCATTTCGGTCAGATACTTAACAAACACGGTCATATCCTTTGTAACTGTTGCTATAAACGCAGTCAGACAAATGATTAACGTGCTCGCCATGATTTGCACAACAAACATTGGCCTATGCAATGCATTCAGCTGGCTGGTCAATCTAAACACACATATAAATAAGCATAAATGACTTTATAAATATTTAAATTGTAAACCGGTAAAATGTACTCGTAAATATCTTGATGTTCTTTGACACAAGCTATTAACTGTCGATATTCTACGGCGGTGCTGTTGGCTTTGTGTGCACCTTTCTTGTCATCGTCGGAATTAAGGCGCAACTGCGAGAATTTATGTGCTACGACTTTCACATGCAACATACTCTCGTTCAGCGTACAAACACCGATATTGTCCACAAAAGTTATGCCTTGTATGAGATACAAAAAGATGATGGATTGAAATATGTAAGCACCAATGAATTTTAATGAGCCAGTATCGCTGGTGTCAAATGGAAACCTTGCACGATGTGGCATCATTGTTTTTGCTGCAAACAATGGCTGAAAGAAGAAGACACAAAAAATCATTAGTTCTTTTAAAACAAACATTCATTTCGTTGAAAATGTTCTCGTTTCATTGATTTAACCATATCTGAATAGCAGATGCTAATTGAAAATTCTTAACCGTTATTTCTCTAACTGTGTCCAGTTCGTTTGAAAAATAATGAATTTACCTGAATAGGAAATGACATAGCCAACATCACACCGTTGAAATAATTCATTAAGAACAAAATCGTCTCTTGAAAATAGCAGAATCGTTGCATTCTGCAGATTCGCTGATCACGACTCTCACCCAATGCCAAAAAGCGATCTTCGAGAATCTTCAACATGCCTCCGATCTTTTGTTGATTGAAGTAGAAATACAATATTTTCGTTGCAACCATGTAAACCTAATGAAAAGTTTGAATTTAGTATTTGGTAATATTTTATAAGGCGTTTAATGGCGATTAAAATTGCCCGTAAAAATTTGGAAACTTCATTGAATATATAAACATGATCCTACTCCAATCAATATACTCAGGTCTTCACAAATGGCCAGAATTCTAGAGTATGTTTCAGGATTTGTCAAATCCATCGTTGTAGTTGCCACAAAACTTGCGATACATCCAACGATTACATAACTGTAGACATAATAATACCATTTGGAGTTCGGTTTCGATCCATCCAGCGGAGCATTCCACAAACCAATCCAGCTGAAGAACAAATACTTTTGATAAATTTCATTTTTTTTTACCTAATTTTCATTTTTCTATATTTTTAATGAATTTTTATTTTGAAATTAATTCCGAGAAAGAACAACGCAACTAAGTAGGCTGATGGAATTTTCAGTGGTGAGTTGAGTCCTTCTTTTAGTTTTATTGCATTGTGTTTTTAATTCCAAATAGAAATGATTTTATTAAATGCAAAAAAATGAATAATAACTTAAAGAAAGCAAATTCACAGTCAATTTACTTCAAAAAACTCGGGCAAACGGAAATCAAGGAGTGTGGCTTATCACTTGTCCCCTTGAACATTTCGAAAAAATTCGTTTTGAAATCAGAAATTTTCTTGTAATTATCCATTTTCACTTGGATAGAAGAACGAAGAAGAAATTGAAGACAAAAACGGAATTATAAAAGAATCTTTCCGATTGCCCTATTTTATAGGAACTTTGGAGGTTGCAAAGAGCATACACACCAACAAGAACCAATTTGAGATATGTCGACCAAACCAATTCGAAAAGAATCAATTCGACACTCTATAATTATGCATTTTCAATGAAATGTGCAAAATTGCCCGTTTGATATATATACGTTCTTCACAGTAAAACGAACGGTGTTCAGAAATAGAGTGCCTAATTGTTAACCGATTTTCGATTGGAACATTACAAGGGGCGAGAACATGTCAAGTCAATTGTGATTGGGTATATCATTTTCAAACTGAACACTGTGTTTAAAACTCGTAATTGGTGTTGTGGATGAAAGAGAAATTTAAAATGACATGTGATTATGGTTTAGTTCATAAGGTTCTGATATGCAACCGATTGGGAATCGAAATGCAACGGCAAAATGACACATTATAATGTATGATGATCGCAGTCAAAAGGATTTAATAGTTGCTTCTAGAACGTTTAGTCGGTTCATTTTGAAAAAAAAAATACAAAACTTCAATTAGCAAATACCTTCAGTAAAAGGAAGAGGTGTTTATTTCAAAAATCACCTGTAGTTCAGTGTTGCTGGGGATATAAAAAAAATCACGGTCATTATATCTGCATTGGGAAATGAAAAAAACAAAAATCAATGATGAACGATCTCATGTATGCGTTATCTAATTTGTAAGCGATGAATACGGAACACCAAATCATTTTTTGCTCATTTCGGAAGTGAGTTGAACGTTTAGGGGTCTCTCGCATGGCCTCATGCAATATAAACGGAATAAGAAATGGAAAAAAAAAATTAGACTCGCGTAGAATTGAACACGAACAAACGAAGCATAAATGAGTCAGAGAAAATTGCCATCAGCAATAGCGCAAAAAAAACGAAATAGCAAAAATTGATGCGATGTGAAATAGTTAAGCACTTTCACTTCAAATCGCAGTTACAAGCCATATTTTATGGTTTGGGATCTGTGTATACATGCGGCGCTTTATTTTCTTCTGTTGCTGTGCTGCACAGTTTTGTGCACATTTCACAGTCATAGCACAATTTAACGTAGGTAGAGGCTTGAGTGGTGCGGCTGACATCGTCATAATATTGCATACGATCCACACAATGCACCGTTCCACACGTTCATTGGCAGCTGAATGGGCGAACAGTGGTAACAACGACAACGGAACAACAGAAACGACGAGCTGTGAACAGAAAAAAAAGCACACAAAGAAAAAGGAAAGTAAATGGAAATGCGCCATCATTATCATGAAGACAAAATTATGCACTTTGGTGCAGGTCGTTGCGATCGACATTATAAGTTCAATAACTTCTTGTACGCTGACAGAAGTTACGTATTAGATCGTTGTCGTTTTGTCTTCTTCTTCATTCAATGCTCGGTTTGTTGGGCCGTGTGTGCGCGTGTGTGTATGTGTGTTCTTCGGTGCAATGTCAAATGGAAAGCATTGCACTTCGATGAACTTAGCGCAAATTTTCTTTTCAATTTAAACGAATCCCATGGGCGATTGCATGAGTTTCGAATAATGTATATAGACAGCCTCTCATAGGCTCGTGTCATTTGACAATTATGAATAAAAAAAACGAAAATAGAAATTCGGATCAACGAAGCAAAAATGAACGCATCGAAGACCGAATTGAGGAAGTAAATGGATTTTGAATGGCATTTTCAATCATCCGAACATGGCACATATTGTATGGTGCGTGTGTTCGGCCATAATTTGACATCGTTACCACTCGTTGCTTTATCGTAATTGAATGTTCACATAATAAAAGTGTGAGCACAATTGATTTGATTGCCTGACATATATACGTCTATACGAAAGCGTCTCTTTCTAATTCATTTTTTTCCGTTTGCTGTTTTCCGTTTGCCGATTACATAATTCGTCTTTGCTTCAACTTAATCGTATTTGAAATACCCTCTACATATCAATCATTGAAAAAAAAAACTGATTTTTAACTGATTGCGATTACCGCGATTGTTTGCCAACGGCTGGTTCCGAGCCATGCAAAAAAAAAGAAAGAAAGAAAAAAAATTCGCACACTAGAAATAGCAAAGTAAAATAACTGATGCATAAACTAAATTTCGGCATCGCGAAATAGATTTTTTCTTTCATTCATTCATTGTGTTCGCTCCTCGTCATTTTTGAAACGGTTTCTTTTTTCATTCACGATCAAAAATTAAAATAAAAGTCACTGAAAATTGTTTTTTTTTCTTTTAAATTATATAATAACCGAACAATAGAGGAATCGATCACGTATTTTATAATGCAGACGAAAAAATTATGAATTAATTTCGATTTGTTATAAAATTAGAGAAAATTGCGAGCACACCGCAAGTGAGCTAAACGGAACGAAGCGAGCGACCAACCGACCGGCCGACAGAGAGACACGCATAGCAATAGAGTGGGACAAAAGAGGAAAAACCTGCATATCATTTGGATATGGAATTATGTTAAATGGCGCGTACGTAGAAACATGCATGCTTAGCAGCGGCGAAAAAGCAGAAAAAATAGCACGCGAAACCAAAAAGAAACGAGCAGCATGTGAAATAACACAAAAGTATCTGGTTTGTGGCGATGCCGCACACAGACAGCAACTGAATGACCTTGTTGACAAAATGGTTTGCATCGAAACATGCTAAACTGCACACGCATTTGATGAACAGAGGGAGAGAGAGATGGACAGAGCAGAAAAACATCGAACCAAACACACAAAATTCGATGTTTATGTAAATTTAAGCAAAACCTTCTCCACAAAATAAAATAAAAGAAAAGATAGATTAACGAAAGAAAGAGCAACACACATATGATTATTGTACATGTAAGTTTAATGTGGCAAATTTTGGATCGAAAAAACCAATTATTGCACACGAACCATGTGAGTTGCATTCTTAGTTGCCGATATCCATGCACACGCAGTACGGGTTTTTTTTTATTCTACTTGGGAAATGTTCATGTTGTTAAGGTTGTTGTGTGTTAGACCACTTTTATATAAAACGGAGTTAAGTTGATGGTCAATGCGTTTACCATTGTTTCGCCGAAAATCACTTGCATCAACAATAAACTGGTTGAACGACAACGAACAGAAGAAAAAAAAACCGGTGAAAAGTGAACGAAAAACATTATCCAAATGTGTTCGGTAGCATTGAAACATGAAAAAAAAGCCCAGCCAACGGTATAATCTAGACCATTCGCTCATGTGCATTGTCTTATTGTAAGTGATCGGTGGTCAATGAGTTCAGACATCATTTTTGTGTTTCGACAAAAGAAAGAGCAGAGTAAATACAATTAATCTTGAAATTTTGTGAAGTTTTATGTGTGTTATTTCTTTTGTTGCTGTTCGTCTTTAAAAATGTTTTCTGAAGAATCCGGTGAGTCAATACATTGCTTGATCATGTGCTGAATTTGAATAATTTGGACGTAATTCATTGCAAACTTTGTCTGTGAGCGTAAAGAAATGAAACCAAAACAAAACGGGAGAGATAACATGCGAAAAATCAGTGTACTATTGTTACATTCGTCGTTTGGTTGCATTTAATTTAAGTACTTTCGATTTTTTTTTTGCCAAAATTGCTGGAACAAAACGGGGTTTTGCACGACTTGTCAACAATACATTTGTGTCTCTTAACGACGACGACAAAAATGATAAAGAGAAGAAAAAAACGCAGACAATTTTAAATTCCGAATTCAAGAGAATACTCAAAAACATTACTGACAAAAAATAAAATAGGAAACCAAACAGCAAGAAGAGACGAAATTTCTCACGAAATTGACCGTGTTCACGAAATGGAAAAATAAAAAGTTTGCGATATTTATTACAATTATTGTCATTATCCTAAAGTCAACGACAGAAAGAAACAGAAGAAATAAATAAAAAAGATTGGACACGTAATTTATAGCGCTAAAGCCCTTCACACTGAACACAACATAAAAAATATATAAAACAACAAAAGATGAAACACGATAGCAAACATGATAAATTGTGAAAGGCCAAATCACCGTTAAATGTTCATTATTATTTCTTTTAGTAAATTCAAAAATCGTCAAATTTTAATTGTAGTGTGAACGGACCAATTTTTTTTTTTCATTCTGCCACATCAAAACAATTGCGTGTATGTATGCGCTACGAAACATTTGTGAGATGGCTGACTGACAATTATAGCGTTGTAGCAAAATTTTGATAGCCATATCACACACTCGATTGCATTTTGATACAATAAAAAAATGGAATGAATGAAAAAAAAAGAAGAAAAAGAATCGAACTTTTGCGCCCAATTTTAAGCCGTATTCAAACCACAATCAAAAATTATTGGGTTTTTTTGCTGTCGTTGTTGTTGTGGCATTGAAATGAAACAGGATTGAATGTTGAAATGGTGCTCTATACAAAATCAATGGCTGGATATTTCGAACGTCATTCAAGATACTAAAATTTGTATATTGAACTCGACTCCAGCTAAATTTAGCCTTTGTTTTCATCGATTCAATTTTTCTTGGCCTTTGATTGGTTCCGTTTCTGTGGTTTTCCCACATGAGAAAGAAGAGAAGATGAAAGAAAAAGAAATGGGAGGAAAGAAAAGCCGAAAAGACGTAAATATCGAATCCAGCATCTGAGTGTATAGAAATCAAGAGGTACATGGTCAATATTAACCCGAGCTCATTCTGACTGCACATATATGCCGTACACAATGTGTACTACACATTCAACAGTTAAACAGATGAGAAAAAAATAAACTTAAAGGAGGCATTTGGCTATTGCCCACAGCAATATTAAATCGTTTCTATTAAGTCAACAGCAGCAGTAACGGACGATGCAGCCCAAATGATTTTCAAACAAAACTGCACTTACAATTACATTTACAGGAGCGCGCGGCTTTATGCCAAATATCCGGCGCACATGTATTGAGTGCATTTGTAATAGTTTTGCAGTTAACGTAAACAAAGCGAACGATCAATAGAAACGGCGAACGCAAAACAACAGTCAATAACATCTATCTCAGTGTGTGCGGAAAATAAGTAGGGCAAGAGAAAGCAATTGAGTTTTTTTTTATCATTGTTGTGTTGTGTGTGCGCGTGTCGTTGGTTGCTTTTTTTCGTTCATTCGTTTGATGTTGTTGCTTGTCATGGCTCTCTTACGTATTACGTTCTCTGTAAATGACTGAGCGTTTGCCATATGCGTTTTTGTGATGATGTGCTCCATATCGGAGACTCTATGGTTCGGACCGATGTTCAACCACATTTGAACGACGACGACAATGACAACGACAACGGCAATGGCAACACGACACATCAGCTCTTCTAGCACAAATGCACACCGCGATACTTATGACACACACTCAGAATGGCATTCAATTAAAATCTCCCGATATCGCGCTCAATGACTTCTCGCTCTCTCTCTCTCTCTCTCGCTTGCATTCAGCTATAAGTCTCTGTCCAATACAATGAACTGCGCGAATTCACTTTTATTCACAATCGACCACGTACACTTCAAATGCGATTCAAGTACACACAAACACGATATTCTTGTGGATTCATCTATGGCTTTTGTAGTGAAAAAAAAGAGACATTGAATTGCAATTTTCAATGAATTGGACTGTGTGTGAGCGTTTTATTTTGTTGCTATTTTTTTTTTTTTTTTTTTTTGGAGAAATGCTCAGCATTTCTATTGGCGCCGTTAATCGCAATTGTGCGATAGAAACAACGTTTTCAAATGCAGATTGGTGCATACACAGACAACGCAGTGCTGCATTGAGTGAGTCAGTTCCATGAACCCGAGCCGAACGACACAATCTACTCTAATGTATCTGGCCGACGTTGCAGTTTTTGTTTTTATATAACTTTCTCATTATGCATTTGTTCACCGTTTTTGGATTCACAAAAGAACACTCTATGTATTATATAAATGCATATAAAATTATATAAATGCAACAACACTCCAGAGCTCAATAAACTTTTACTTGTTTCTCTCTTTCACTTTCGTTTGGTGTCACCAATGAATTAATCGTAATGATTAGATTTTAGTGATGATTTTTTTTTTCTCTTCAAACTTTGTATTTATGTATATCTGGCCCATTAGCATTTCTTGATTTTTATCCAGTATCTCATAACATTTTTTATCCAGTATCCCATAGTAGATTTGAGTATTTCAAAGTATTTTTATTTACCCATTAGAATATTTGCATTGAAATTGTTGTTCACAATCGATTTGAGTATGTTCAAAAGAGAAATGCTAGCACACTTTTCTAAGCTCAATCAATTAGCATCGATTATGGCTTTCATATTCAATGCTTCGAATCATGAATTGGCAATGTGTTGGGTTCGTGTGAAACACGTGAATTACGGCTTTAATAGAAAAATTCGACTTTTTTTCTATTTCTTAGCAGAGCTTCATCACATCGGCCCATAACTTGTCCCATCTCTCATACTCTCGATATCCATAAATCTTATACTGGCGACCGCGTACACACGCAAAACGATCGAATGTTCACTATAAATGCCGTTTCTTCTTCTTCTTTTGCTGCTGCTGCGTCTCAGCTTATTTTGTACTTTTGTATCATAGTGTACGGCACATGTCCGAAATGTGTGTGCCCATGCGCGCAAGGAAGTTGTATATGATGTGTGGCGATGTGAATTGACAACCACAGAGCGATGGCACAAAAAAAACGAGAGCAAGAGTGAGACAGAGAGTGAGTGAGCGAAAGAGAGGCTTCAATTATTTCGATTTATTTGTATAAACCATACATGCGCCCGTTTTACACATAGCAAACAACGTGAAGCAGCGAGCAACAGAAACAAAAACAGCAACAGCAGCAACAGCAGCAACAACAACAACAACAACACCAACCACCAACATAATGAGCGAATGGCAGTGTACGCTAGACTGTGTGTACGATCCATGTATTGAATTGTGCTTTCTGTATGGTCGAAGCGATCTCCCACTTTCGGTCTCACCGTAGATTTTGGTTTTTCTTTCGAAATTTTTAGCGCGCCGATGTGGTCATATGGTAGCGTAAACTCTTTTCATAATTTAGTTTGGCTGTATCTACCTCTAAATTAACAAGTGTTTTTTTCCTTCATTCCCTATTCAAAACTTTTTTTCACAATTTTTTTTTTCCTTCTGAAATTTAAACGAAAAATTTGTTTGATTTTTTTTTTGTTTGACAATTTTTTTGTTTGGCTTCGATTTTGATTCGATAGACTAACTCAAAGGAATACCACTTTTCAAAAGTAAGTTGTGTTTTGCTAATTGTATCGCGCATGTTTAATTCGTGCAATTATTATCGATAATATTTTATTTTTGGCCGCCACATCGTGATCAAATCGATCGTTCGATAGAGCAAAACTGATGGTTTTCTCGTTCGTTTTCATAGAATATTCCAATGGAAGTGCATCGATGCAATTCCATTTGACATGTTTTAACCGAGATTCAGATGTGTTCATTGAAAAATCACACAATTTCGTGAACTACTCATGCATTGGTGCAGTGTTAAGTGTCACAAAAACATGCACATAGTAAATATTGTTGTGAAGTGGCACGAATTCGGTTTAATTCGTACTATTTTCTTTTTGTTCACTCCAACATTCTGAGCAACGGAGATGCAAAAAATGCAACAACTACAACGAAAGAAGAAGTAAAAAAAACAACACAGAAAATGTTCTATTCAAAACCAAATGCACAATGAAGCATATATATTTGGTACGCAGTTCTAACGATAATATAAATATTCGCACATTGCGTGTGTTCGTATATATGGCATCGGAATTATGCACTGGATTTCTCTAGTCGGCAATGACAATGTAGTTGTGTGGGCTGAGTGTGCGAGAGAGTCAATGGTTTGTTACAAATGACCGCAAAAGCGCAAAAATTACGATATTTGTTTGCTGTTGCCGTGTTTAGTGCGATCCGCCTGGCTGAAATGTGGTGCTATTTTCGGTGCTGCTCAAAATCATGCTCTTCGGATATCCCAATCGATTCATCAATATTTACATATTCATTATGTAGTTTTGAGGGGAAAAAATCCCCGGTCAGTCGATTCAATCGGATCAAATCAAGTTTGTCATACCATTTCGTTTATTTCCGTCTTCTTCTGGTTATGCGAATTAGTTTTTTTTCTTCTTCGGTTGTTATTCTCTTTGTTTTTTTTTTCTTCGGTTGTGTCAGTTTTTTTTTCTCTTTCGTTGGCCGGATTTAACGAGAGAGAGAGAGAGAGACTTAGTACTGTTACACAATACAATATAAAGTTGTAAAATGTTCACAACTCTTAAAGGTCATGAAATATGAGTGTTACCATTCGAATCAAGCGAGAGAGACAGTGTTTGTATACAAAGACATGGACAGAAAATATGAAAAAGACGATGAATGGCTTTCGATTTC